TATATATGCAGAAACCTTCTGGTCTTGTTTGTTCCGATGAAAATAAAGTTCTCAAACTGAAAAAAGCTATATATGGTCTTAAACAGGCCTCTAGAGCTTGGCATAGGAAAGTGGATAATTGTATGTTAGCAGATGGGTATAATAAATCGAAATTGGAACCATGTTTATATACTAAGATTGTAGGTACAAAACGCACTATTGTAACTCTGTATGTTGACGATTTTTTTATTTTTTCAAATGATGAATGTGAATTGAAACACTTGAAAGAAATGTTGAGCAATAACTTTAAAATCAAAGATTTAGGATGTGTAAAACAATGTCTTGGTATGTCAGTTAATTTTAATGAGAATAATGATGTTGTTACTCTGAGTCAGGAAAAATATATTGAACAATTACTTACCAGATTCCATATGAATGATTGTAAAACAGCAGATTCGCCAATGGAGGCTAAATTGAGTATCAAAAAAGCTGAAGTTTGTAAGAAGGAAATTCCATATCAGCAGCTTGTAGGCAGTTTAATGTATTTAGCAGTTCTAACTCGTCCTGATATAGCCTATTCAGTGTCATATCTTAGTCAATTTAATAACTGTTATGATGAAGAGCATTGGATGTATGCAAAGAGAATATTAAAGTATTTAAAGAAAACTAAAAATGTAGGACTGAAATATTGTAAAAGTGAAAATGTCTATATAGAAGGTTTTGTAGATGCCGACTGGGCGAATGATCTCAATGACAGGAAGTCTTACTCAGGTTTTTGTTTCACTTTGTCTGGGTCTGTTATATCTTGGAATTGTTCTAAACAAAAGTGTATTGCCCTTTCTAGTACAGAGGCTGAGTATGTAGCGATTTCAGAGGCATGCAGAGAAGCCGTGTACCTTAGAAATTTACAGTATGAAATTACTAACCAGATGTATCAAATTACTCTATACAACGATAATCAAAGTGCACATAAATTGACAGCAAACCCTGTTTTCCATAATAAAACTAAACACATTCAAGTAAGATATCACTTTTGCAGAGAAATGATTAGTAATAAAGTTGTGTTGATTAAATATTTGTGCACTGCAGATTTGCCAGCAGATATGTTAACAAAAAGTTTGAGCTCTGTAAAACATTGGAATTTTATGAAGGTTTTAGGTATTGTTGAAGTGTAACTTTATAACTGCAAATTTTATATAATTTTTTGTATTAGTGTGTAGAGGGGATATTTTGAGTGGGGGTGTTATAATTAATAGTTTTAATATTAGCAAAATATCTCAATACGCTACTCCTAGCGCCATCTATGTAAATGTTATGTAAACTTGCCGAAAGAAATAAATTAGTCTGTTTCGTTGATTCAAAGCTATCACGTCGTTTTATTATAAGGAAGATTAAAACTTATATTTTCTTGGATGTCGTTTTATGGCTAAAAATATCTTTTCAGATCTGGTTATATCCAAATAAATATAATTATATCTAAAAATCTCATAAGAGATATCTTTTCTCATATAATTATGTCTGATTGTATCTTATTGTGTATAATAATATCTATTATATTATTTTTTCGAACGGATTATAAAGTTGGTAACAGTTAATCTTGATCGAGCGTGAATATATAAATAATTAAAGTATTTTCTACATAAATTTATATTTTTTTAATATTCATTTCCAGTTGATATGTATAAAAAATCGTGAAATCTCATCAAAAACAGCCTCCTCCTGGGCTGTACAAAAATGTGCGCCAAGCATGAATAACGACAATGATGAAATTACAAAAAGTCCTAAAATCATTAAACGCCAATTATTTAAATCTACAAATCAACAATATTTAAAATGAATTATCTTCATAGGTTTGTTTTTCTTAAAAAAAAAATTAGTTTTTTAATGACACAATAAATATAACCACTTTGATTAGAATTATATATGTTGTCTAAACCATATGATTGAATTTTCGATTTTACATCGTTAATGAACACTTCTGATGTTAGTTTCAATATTGTAAGATCTTTAATCGTTTTTGATGATATGAATTCGTAAATTTTACGAAAAACAATATGACAAGCTCTTTCAAATGATAATATCCACGTTAAAGATGCTTAAAAATAAAGATCATCAACGTGTAAGTTTTTTTTAAACTAATAATGCCCATTTTCAACTCCCCAGTGGGACGTTATAGTAATGGGTCCGATTTTGCGAATCGCGAATTTTGACGGATCGCCACGTTTTAAGGTCCCTAGAGTCGAATGCGATCGTTTTCTAGTGGACGTCTGTGTGTGTGTATGGACGTACGTTCGTCCGGAATTTTTTTGGTCGATTATCTTGAGAATAAAAAATGAACCAATTGCATTGGACGCGATTTGAGCAGAGTAAAAAATTCAGATCTGATTAAATCTAAAGGAAAATACGTCATTTTCGTAGAAAAAAATCAGATTTAATTACCACTTTAACTATTTATTCTTAAACTGACAAATGACACCACGCTTAGAATTCAACTGTCTCCTTCATTCCTTTTTCTTCCACCAATGATCCTGAATTGTTGCCAAACGACCGGATTTCTGAAAGACATTGTTTATATTTGTTGGTGGTGGTGATGGATAACGATGCTCGGTTGTTGGTAGTTGGGTTGGTTTCTGATTGTATTTATTATTTCTTGTTCCTTTAAGAGGTTTTGTTGCAGGTATCGATGGTTAAGGTCCATCTGAAGTGGGCGAGGATGGCTTATTATTGCTTATTATTTGGTTATATATGTTTTCTTTATTTTGCAGAATGTTTAATATACTCTTCCGCTACTTTACTGGATTTCCAACCCCCGTGTTGTTTCACTGTTGTGAAGTTGGCTCCTGCATTTGGGAAGAGTGTGGCTGATGTGCGCCTAAAGGAATGTCCTGTATATTTTTCAGGATTTTTTAAGCAACAGAACAACGCCACTATTCTTGAGACCTCACTTATTTTATCTTTTCTTTCAATTAGAAGTACATTCAGAGAGAACTTTAGCTCCAGATGGAGAAAAAAAATAGAGTGCACAGTTCAATCAGTATCTTTGACAACTCACAGTTATACAATACAACCAACGATATCAGCTAATGGTAAACTCCTTACTCCCCTTTTTCTTGTGTTAAAAGAACCAACTGGGAAACTTGGTCCTCGGGGAACAGTGTTACTTTTTAGACCAGATAATGTACACGTAGAAATATCAAAATCTGAAAAACTTACATCTTACAACTTTGTAAGACTTTTTCAGACAGTGTCCTATTACGGAAATTCGATTTAAAATTACAGTTAAGGAATAATATTAAATTACGATATTAATGTTCTCCATTGATAGAAAATATTTGGACATGGTTCTGAAAAATTTGGCTAAGTCTTATGCAATTTTTTTTGATTAACTACTTCTTCGAATTAAGTAAAGATTAATTGCAAAAAAAAAATTTATCGTAAATGTTTTTCTACAAAAGTACTTTTTACATTATTTATAGAAAACTCGAACAAGTATTTTTTTACACTATTTATCGATATTCATTAAAATAATGACTTATTTTTATAGATGACATGGCGTACTATTTGATATCATACTTTTTTGCTGATTCACAATTCTTTCAAAGAATTATTTAAAAATGCGAATTTAGTTATTAATAGAGTGGTTTGGGATGTTAACATGGCGCAGAGTTTCACTTTCATTCAATGATAGAGGTTTTAGTAGGATTTCAATTATTTTTGTAATTTTACCTATTTCCAGCTTACATTCATTATTTCGGCTCCATTAGTGTTCACTATCGGACATATATATCACATAAGCAACTCAATAAATAGCTGCTAGTTGTCAATGTATGATAGAAGTAATCAACGAAAACGCTTAATTATTAGCTATGACATTTCTTAACATATCAAGAAATCATTTGCAGCTGTTAATAACAAATGTAACTGTTAAGAAACAATGTTCATTTATACCTATGTAATAAAATTAGTAACTCGTTTACAGTAAGAAAGTAATTATTTTTCCGCAAACGAAAAGAATTCCCGTTAGAAATACTTTAGTACATTACTTAGCTTCCATTTTGAATTATCGACAACGAATTCAATTGTTATAAACAGAACGAATTTGCTTATAATTATATTCCGTTGTTAGTAACTCTTTTTTAATGTGGAAGAAAAAATTTCCTATTGGAAGAACTCGAAGATGCTTAGAATCCGTTCCCAATTGTTTGTAACAATTCATATCATGATGGAAAAAGAGGGCTCGTTTATGTTATATGGTTAGTATTTTTTTTTTGTTTATAATCAAGACTCAAACTTATTGTTATAATTCATTTTATTGTTTCCTTCTCATTCGGATCCTTTAAGATTTTCCCGCATTTAGTGTTAATGCTTTAGCGTCACCTCGTGACAAAGTGAAACACAGGACGTAACAAAATTCAATTTGAAGGAAAATCATTTTTGCGGTCGGTAATTAAATGGTTCCTATTTAAATTCTGAAAAAAGCCTATAGGATTTATTCTTTTTAAATAGGTATGTTTAAGCAGGGTAGCTATATTGTTCTATTTACTAGACGTATTTTTGTTGCATTACTGGACAATTACATTTTTTCGTTAGCCACAGTTCTTCTAAAAGCGTATATTTTTTAAATAAATAAACGAATTGTCATAAAATTCTAAGTGGAAAATTAAATTTTTCTTTAATTCAATTAAAAGACATGAATAGAATTTTTTTTCGAAGAAAAATTATTTAAAAACAAATGCAGTGACGTCTGATGTAGATAAAATTTCCTTATCTAAAAACGTTGAAAACTGCTATATTCTGACTCATAGTTGTATATTAATTTGGCAATCTGACAATAAAACATTTCAAGCTAAAAAAAGAAATTTAACATTTTCTGATAAATCGAAAATTTTGTCATCAGACCAATGTTTTTTTAATTATTGCAAGTTCAAAAACATCATCAATGTCACAAAGTAACATTGTAATTTATGCTGGAAACTTATCTCTCTTATTAAATGAGTTTGGAAAAGCAATATTTTTTACTATTTTTTGTAAAATAATCAAAGGTAAAGGTGGTAATTTATTTTTTCCATAAAAATCCATTAATAAATCTCCCTAACAGTTACATGTGTCATACATGTCGTTCTATCATTAACTTATTATTTGATAAAGACAAAATATATTTCATTTAGCTATTACAATGAAAAAAATGATGAATAACTGATAATTCTATTCGTTGCCGCATATATTAATGTTTCAACTTTGAAGTATCAAGATGTTTTCTCCATGAATTGGCAGTACAAATGTTATCATTTCGCCACCAATCATTTACATCATCGTAGTATTTTGGTGGACGAACATCATGCAACATTGCACATACTCGACACCAAAAAAATGTGTTTATAAATTCTCCAGTTCCTTTCCAATTAAAGTATGAGTTATACAATGTATCATCTTGATCCAGTCGATGAAGATAGTCGGCAAGTTCACGCGGTGATTCAAACTCATCGACGTGAATGTACGATCGATAAGGAGCACTTTTTGCATAATCAATTGGATGTGCACCCATAACAATTGGTAAAACGTTATGCCTATAAAAAAGAAATGAAATTATGAAGATGTTTTGAATGCATGATAAATATTGATATTTTATTGTCTTACCCTAAACCGTTAACAAAAAATTTTTCAGTAATGTAATCTCGACAATTTGAATTTTCAAATGCTAGGTAAAATTTATAATCTGCATCTAACATTTCGAAACATGTTTGAGCTTGTGAACGAGAACAACGTAAACTACCACAAGCTCCGTAAATATCTACTTGAATGTATTTAGCCAGTTCTTTAGCATATTGCATTCTTTGATTTCGAGGATGACAATTAGACACGAACCAAGCAACTTTTTTTGTTTTGTTTGCAGCATAGTTGAAAGTTTGAGGTATTTGAGTGATTTTTGGGTCATAATATTGCCATTTTTCATAAGGTGCTACAATATCACTGTCATAACGATATGTAGCAGTCCAATTGATTAAAGAATTTTTTACTGTTTGAGTATGGTAAGGACATTCAAGAAAATACAACATCCAAATCTGAAAAGAAATAAAAATATATTATTGTGCCAAAAAAAATTAAAAATGCTAGTTTAAAACCTAAAATACAAACTTGGTTAGCTTTACGTGCTATCTGAGTAATATAGTCCTTGAAAAGTATCAAATCCGCAACATCCGGGTTATCACGCGTTATGACGCAATTATTAACAGGACAACCAAGCCATGTAAATATATCACTACCCACTTTAGCCTCGCTCATTCCATGTGGAATCATAATTTTTTTTGGTGGTCGACGATGTTTGATAATCATATTGTAATCTGGTGGAATGAACATTAACTAAAAAAATTATGTTAATAAATGTCATCAGTCATAGCTTTTAACTAAATACATATGATTTGTTTTTTGTTTTTGCAAAATTATCGATATCTCAATATTTAATGTTAATTTAATACCTTCATCTAATGGATGTTTTGTACATTAAATACTCAATCCAATTTTTATCCAGTCTTACGATCTGATTTCATTTTCTTTTGGGAAAAAAACTATCCACAGGAAGTGAAATGATCTATTCAATTGTATTGAGATGTCAATTTTTTTATTCGTTCATATATATATATATATATATATATATATATATATATATATATATATACATACATATACATATATATGTATATGTATTGTAAAATAAATGCATGTTTGAAAAAAATTTCTTTTAAATTGAAGGAATATTTAGAGTATCGTTTTGATGAATAGCAATATGCTCAATCTCATTTTAATCGTTCTCAATCGAGAAAATAAGGACCAAATGAAAGTATTTCTGATTATTCTGAAGAAATTAATAAATTGGTTAAATATGCGTTTCCTTCTGTTTTATTTCGTGGTCGAAAAAGAATGCAATTTTCCGCGTATGGATAGAATTGAATCTTTACAATAAGCGACTCAGTTTGTGCTTGAATTTGAGTTTGCTGAAAAATTATTTTTCGGGAATAGGAATAATTATCGTAACAATGATTTAGATGATGATAATAATTCTGCACAAAATTGTACTTATAAATCTATGAACGATTATAATTTGAATTCTTTTCAAACTATTCAGTGTTCGTTGTGTGATCAAATTGGTCATTTGGAAGAAAAATGTGTATGTTATTGAGACTTTCCAAATTAAATTTTTGATATTGCAAAATTGGTCATATTTATTTTAATAGAGTTAAAGGAAAGTGCCCGAAATTAGAATGGAATTGAGAAGGCTTTGTATTTTCAGAAATGAATTCAATTTAGTTGTATGTGGGATACAGAAAATTTAAAATGGTCTCTTAAATGTTGTTTATTTAAATAGACTTGCTTTTTATGAAGAAGATCTAGAAATTTTTTGACTATTGTTCAGAATTTCCAATTTATGTAGAATTCTTGGTTAGTAACTATCAGTCTGAGGACGGTGGTCTTTCATTGATCATTTGATTGTGAATTTAAAGTCACAATGTCTGTCCTGGAACAGTGAAATTTGGTGAGTGACTTGATGTCCATGAGGTCCTGTCTAGCTCATATAGTATGTAAAGGCCATTGAACTGGTTTGAAAACTCTTTACGCAAGGTGTGATTATTTGAAAATATTTTAATTTTTGAGAGTCAAGTTATTGTGCAATAAAGATTGTGAAGTTGGAGAGAGTGCTCCAGAAAGTCAGACCATTTAACTAAAAGATTAATTATGATTTGATTTTGATTCTATTCAAGAACTAAAATGCTTTAATTTTTCTAAAATTATTTACTTAGCACATCGACCTGTCCCTGTTTTCTTGAAATTTCCAGTTTTTTTGAGTCTTAAGAGATTCTTTCTAGAGGTTCCATTCCATTTTACTAGAGAGGGAGAAAACGAGGAAATAAGATTCATAAAAATAATTATTTATTTAGTACAACTAACGGACTTATAGTTTCAAGAATGATTTTGAATGATGATTTTTCTAAAAACTTTCTTTCATTTTCTTTTTGACAGGTAGAGTTAGTTAACAAGCGGCAATTTTGAAAGCTATGTTAAATTACTGAATTTAGTGTTAGCAACGCTTGACCGATTTGTTTATGGTTTTAATTTTTAACTAAGACTTGAGCTGACCAGACGTTTTCTTTGTTTTGAGATCTTGAAATTAATTTAATAAATGATTTCATTTTTTTATAACATGTCTTGGAGTTATTATTATGATATATTTTACAATATATATAGAAAAAAAGTCAAAATTTGAACTCAAGTCAATATAAATACCTGATTAGTTATTCGATCTCCATGACTATCCTCATCTGGCCATAAATTCGCTATCCTTCGACCAGTTTTCTTTGATTTTACTGCTGGAAAAGGTCGTATCGTTCCACCTTTCATATACCATGGCCGTTTTATTGATTCTCCTCGATCAATTCTATTTTCTACAAAAGTTGTTGTTTCAGTAGTAATATTGACCTAAAAAAATATTTCAGGAGAACATTCAGGCTATCTTGACATCCGATTATCGGTTGCATACATTCAACTAGTATTAATAATAATTGAATAAAATTTTTTATAATTATTGAATTGAACTAATTTAATCGGGAACTTCATTGATATAATACACGACGTTATAATAAAAAGTACTCTATCAAAGTAAAACATGAACTCTTTTCGTCTGTTGTTGTTTTGTGATAGCAACATTTTAAGAATATATATACTATTGGTTAAAATTTAACTTTGGTTCGATCGTTAAATTCAATGAATAACTTACCGAAGAAATATATAATTATTCAAGACAATAACCGTTCAATGGGTAAATGTCCAATATGTTACTGTACCTGATATTTAATATTTAAAGTAATATACCTTATCAATGTCTGGAACATTTTGAATTGGTTGAACTTGTTGATCAATTTTAACGACGTGCCAGAATTCTTTTTGACGAATATTGATCGTCACCAACAATATTCCAGTTGCACAAAATATATATATAAAACATTTTTTCACGGATAATCGAGATAAGCCCATTTCATAAATCTTTTTTTTTTTACATAAATTCTTATTTGTTGATTTCTGCTGTTTGTATGGTCCTCGAAATTTTTATAAAACTCAATACAGATATCTTCATTGTTCATTTGTTCTGTTGAAGAAATTTTGACAAATTACGTTTTTAACATAACACAGCAACAGATCAATAAATAAAAATGACTATAATCGTCGAGTTAAACTAAAATTTATCTGATTAATTTTTTAAATATTAGTGATTTCAATACCATTTAATCTTATCCTGCATATATTGATTAGATAAAAACTACATGGATGAACGCCCACTAAAAGTTTTTATTTTTTCGAACACATAAACTATTACGGTCTATTAAATATCAAATAAAAGAGTTTCAATAATATTGTAGAGTGTAGAATAAAATTACCGACTTCAAAGATTCTTCGAAGAATTTAACGGATGTTTTAATACTACTATGTATGGCGATCGAATTAGTTAATATAATAAACAAAGTAATTTTTCATGAATGATTTGAATTTCAGATTTTTAAAATGTCGAATAAGGGTTGTCATAAATATTTCACATGTTTAAATAATTGATAGTATTATAACCTAACTTATACAAAAAGCAAAAATCAAAAAACGTTGTTAACCTCCCTAATGTGTTATTGATGTACTTCAAATAAAATTCTTTACGCTATGTGGAAAAAGATATGTTTATAGATATTAATTAATGTTTTTAATCATTCAAGCACTTGCAGCACAAATATATAAAGTTAAGACATTTATGATACATAAAAAATAGTTACATAGTTAACCCTGTGATAGCATCGATTAAAAAAAATTTGCTGTTATGAGTTAACTCAAAATACAATCATTGATTACCATCGGGTACTGATGTTTGTCGCAAAAATGACCAATATAGATCGTATTTCCAAACAATCAAGTGCAGTTCGTAATTTCACAGTAATTATCTGCATATTTTCAATATTTACGCGCTCGAGGCAATGTGCAAATACTTAAATATACTGAAAAAATTATATTTTTTTTCATTATTCACATTAAACGTAACTAAAATTTACAAATAAAATAACAAACAGATACCTATATACCAATGGTTTAAATATATTTTTCTATAATTTTATTCCACTGAATATTAATTTTTGAGCCCAAACTTTCACTTTCATATTTATATTAATAATTATTTTTCAGATAATATTGCTTATAATCACTAAAATACTATTTCTCGCTACTGTTTTTTGCTGCGATTTTACTCTTCTAAGCCACTTGTCTATCTTTATTTGAACTGTAGCTCCATACCACCACTCACAGAAAATCCATAAGCTCGGCGACTGCGCGGTTGACGGTTAATCATCACTCATTTTATTCATATGGAAATAAATGTGTGCCTCCACAAATTGTTCAAAAACTTTTACTAAAATTTAACGTTGATACAATTGAATATGTTTTTTATATAAACATTCGTTAAACGATAGATTCAATTGATTTGAGACCATCATAAACCATGATATCATAAAAATAATATTTTCTATAAAATATCCATACGTACATATGTAGCATTTCATGACTGACCTTATTATAGAAAGATCAGATTTATCATTTATTTATATATATTTATATCTTGTTATGTAATTGTGAGGTAAAAAAATAATTAAAGGTAGGTAGGTGATCTTTATCACTTGATTCAATGTGATGACAGTGCACATTGATCTTTCAATTGATTATACAATTTATAAAATGTAACTCAAAGAAAACATTTTTTTACGGTACTTGCTATTATTTTCATATAGATATCTTACTCACACTCGTGGAAAAAACTTTAGATTTCTTCAGACCTGTATTATAAGACTGTGCAGATCTGATTAGATATAACACATTCATTAACTTTCTATTAGGATGTTATTGTCATGGGGTCAATTTTTGAAATTCTTAATTTTATCATATTCTTCTTACGTTTGAGACATTTTAAAGCATATTAGAAAGATTAAACATGTATGTATGTATGAATATACGTATGTGCGTACGTGTACCAGATTTTTCTTCGTTTTCGATGTCTCGAGAACCATTAAAGATATCAACTCCGGGTAGATTTCATTTTGAAGATAATACAATGAATAAAACTGAAAGAAACAATTACATAATGTCTATAATAATAGCGGTTTGTTATAAAAAATTGAAAAAGGTTTTAATTGATTAAATTATTATGACTGTAATTATATCACTGTAATCAATAAAATATTGTTATAAATGACTTTACACGGTTAAGTTATTGTGTATTGCTTATTACAAATTGCTATTGTTACCAACAAAAAAACTAGAAGGCGACAAAATTACGAATTTTAATTAATAAAAAATTTCACTTGCAGTTTGTTGTAGTAGATCAACAATGATTCTGATACTGAAAAGAAATTAAAATTAAATATTCTTTTTTCAGTACATAAAGCAGAAAAATTGCTCGTTTAGGATCCAAAATTGCTTCAGCAAAAAAGTTAGTAATTAATTGAATATCGGTAATTAAAAAAGTTTACTTTTAATTTATCGTATCTGTGTTTATCCTGCTTAAACTATCCTGTTAAAAAGCAAAGTTTCAATGGGAAACAGGCATAGGAAATGTCCTGTAAATTCTTCGTGAAAATTATCTTCTTTCTGAAATCGATCGAATCCTATTAGACTATCCTACAGAAGAACATTAAATCCTACTAAATGTTTCGATAGAAATACGAACATTTCTACAGGATGATAATATTTTCTATATAATCCTTTTCATTACTTACGTTTCCTAGTGGACTTTTTCCATGGGAATGCATGTGATTTAATAGGATTATAATATTTTCACAATATCCCATTGAACAGGAAGAAATTCTTATCGACTTTTTAATGGGATTGATGTCCTATTTAATGTCCTATTGAATAACACGGAATCCTACTGTCGAAATTTCCTATCAAATTAAGGGTAAGCCCATTGAACGTTTAATAGGTTCTTATGATCAAAAAAAAATCAGTTCGAACAAACAGAAATTTTTATTTGCTTTCAAAGTTCGTTATTCATACGGATTTATTGTTGAAATATACACCTAAAATAAAATTTATTGGAAACTTTCTCCGAAATCCTGATCCACAGTCGAGTACGCTGCCGAGTACGCTATTTTAAAACATGTAGACATGACTTTCGCTGCACCTATTAATCTTAAAAATTTTAGACAATTTAAACATTAATCAACTTAGCTTCCTAGCGAGTATTTCAAAGTAGACCCGTACAGAAATATTTTTCTGAAAAAACTGTCGAAAACTCGGAAAAATCTAATTTTTTTTACAAAATTCGGAGGAAGTTTTATTTTATTTAAAAAAATTTGAGAGATAGTGGTAAAATTCTGAAATAACTATCTATTTTGAGACTCCCACTCTAAGGCATTCTTGATAAAAGTCAACGTTTTTTAGATAATTCTCAAAGATTCTTAGAAACACTCAGAGAAAAAAAAAATTTAGGTTGAACCTGACTATTTCGAAATATCTTGACTTTTCCCAAAGAAGTAAAATAAAATAAGTCTAATAAGAAGGTGTATTTCTAATAATTTCATTTATTTTTAATACTTTTTTTTATTTTGTAGCTTTTAATCTCTTTATATTTTATTAGCTTTGCATTAGAAGTACTGTTTGTTTCTTCATCTAAAAATAATTGTTCGATTTGTAACGTTTTACAAATCTAGTCAGACCATATTATTGGGTTGCTAAAGATACAGTAAAATCCTTAGAACAACCTTGAATTTTTTTTTGTTTCATTCAATAGCCTGAAAACTCTAATCAGCAACATCATTACCATATGTATCAGTAATTGAGCATTACAGAAACAGATGAGAAAAAATTCCTAAACATTTTTGTGTTAAAAAAAATATCTTTTTGTCGTGATAAAATATAATTGTTGAGATTCTTTTTGAAATGGCTAAAAATAATGTAAGTATTGATACGGTTGCATTAACTAATCTATATTAGAAAAATTGTTACCATTTTTGTTACTATTATTAACAGTTGTTTATTGTCAATTTATTTAAAATTTTAATTTTTTCCTTTATTACAGAATCACCATTGTGCTCTGTGTGGAGAAATTTTGGAATTGTTAAACATGGAATATTTGGTAGCCCATTCCTGCTTTGAAGATTTACCTAAAATTTTTTTTTTTAGTTTATAAACAGACTACTTATTTATTTTATATTGGTGAGTAATTATTTGGTTCATCAGATGAATATAATTAATTTTTCACTGAATATATTTTTAATAATACTTGCATTTCTATGTAAATACGACCTATAGCTCCAGTCGAAGTCTCACCGGGCCCAGTAGAGGCCCTGTCGATGGATAAGCTGCCAGAACAAATTATTTTATTGGCTCAAGAAAGGCCAAAATTATGGAATTATGCATTGCTACTCAGCCGAAAATTTCCTGCCAAAATTGTAAAAGTGTGGGATGAGGTAGCTAAAAAAGGTAGCTTACCAGGTAATTAATTTGAAATAATTATGTCTTCTACCTAGATTATAAATAGTTATATAAAAGATTCATTTTTAGGCATCGATCTTAGAAAAAAAAGCGATACGGTAGCGGCTGAGCAATCAGTATATGAAGGCCAGGAAGTAGTTGCGAATTTATATACCCAGTAGATCCGGACTTTAAGACCGATCTGCATCACCAACCTTTCGTTTTTTTGAGTAAATGATTTTTTTCGATTGAATCGAAGAGTCAAAGCCGTGAGTAGTACTTTAATTTTTTTTTATAATTTTCCGATATTATGAATATCCTTAGGTAAAATTAGTTTAAAGTTACATACTACAAAATAGATTGAAAAATTTGTAATTTACATTATTTCGACGTCATTTGAATCCGCCAGCCTGCCCAGGCCATCAACATCAGCAGTTGCAGGATGCAACATCTCAGCTGCGAATACTCTATGTAGTACTTCAACATCTCCTAAGTCATATATTCAGCAGGCATCATCTAAAGGTAAGACTTAGTTTTTACAAAAATATGAGAGACAGTCAATGTTTTTTAAAAATAAATTTTTTTGATTATTCTATTTTAGGATAGAAAACCAATCATTCAACAATAAATAAGGTTCAAAATATTGTAAAATATAACCAAATAATAACTTCGGAAATAATAAAAAGATTTAAATGTTTATTAAAGATTGACAGCTATAAATATATTGAAAGAGAAGACGTCCTGTCAATTCAAGTCTCAGCCAAAAACTGGCGATAAACAAACTCTCCCCTCCTTACTATAAACAATCTAATCGTCAAGCAACATCAACGTCCTAGAAAATTTTCGTTTGTCTATTCATCATTGGATAGTGACATACAAATATTTTACGATATTATTAATTCGCCTGAGCTATCAATTACACGACTTGACGGCTTTCCAACTATAGTTCGGAAGCTCTTGTCATTACTTACTTGCCCAAGGAGAAAACTAAAGATCTGGACGGCCATCCTAAAGCTCTTAAGGTCTCACCTGTCAAATAATACTCAAACAGCATAAAATAATGAACTGTGACAAGACGGAATATAATTTGACCTTTCTTCATAAAAACGGCAATTGACCTTTGCTCCTATGGGAAATAAAAAGTACTACACGGTCGAGGAGGCTGAAGTACAGTCTGTATAGCTGTCTAAGATCACTGGACCATCCAAGTGGCGAGAAAGAACGAGGGTATCGTGTCCATAAACCACATTGAGGTCGCAGAGACTACACAGGACTTCGCTGTACTCAAGCTTCCCACCACGACTGGAAAAAAGGGTAGCTGCAAAAACATCCTCTCTGAGAAAATCTACGAGTAAGCGACAAACAACGTCAATTATCTCATAATATAACATAAACGTGGGTGATGCACGTTATATGATAATTCTTCATGTTAATTCTTACTTACCTTTCTCTTATCGGAAAAAGCGAACAATAAATTCTCCTAAACCTAATACTCTCTTGCACATTGTAACTAGAACACACTAAGTCTTTTTTTCCCTCCATTTATTCACAACAAATTAATGAACAAGATTTTGCAAGCGCGTTTTATAAAAATGATAATACTCTACTTGATATAATAAGTAAATACACCTACAAATAGTAAATACAGTCTGATTCCTTTAATGATCGAAGCTTGCGGAAATTACAGAAGCCTTCAGCTGACGGGTGTAGGCCAAGTGCCTGAAAGATGGTTTCACTCACCGTGTATCTCTAATTTATTTTCTAAGGATGCCAGATGTCTCAACTCACTACTCGTAAAATTTATCTTACTGAGGTTGCTCTTACCTGAAGGGTTAGATACTAATTTTCTACTAATTTACAAACCGA